CTTTAAGCGTACAAACAATATCAGATTATTCAAAGAAAATAGAATTAAGAATGTCTTGATCTAAAGGTTAATTTTATCGATAAACATGACAACATGAATCTATATAAAGTTTACCAATATTGTACAGACCTATTAATAGATAAACTTAGAAAATTGACAACGGTCAGGGTACCGAAAGATGAAACAGGTGTGAAGTTTTTTTTTAAATTTATAAGTGTGTCGGGAAATTGGTGGACCCCGTCCCTAATAAAAAGAGAAGAGCTGAGTTGGGTTGTGAGCATAGAAGAGCAGAGTTGGGTTAGAGACGGTGAGGAAGTGACGTCAGAGATCGAAAAAAAAAGCGCCCGCTAACATATGCTATTGATATAAGTACCGCTGCTCCTGCTACTACTGATATTAGTACTGCTATTGATACTACTGAGGACAGGAACATCGACGGTTGTAGTAGTTGCGCTATGACTAATATAAGAGAAATAACAGAAAGACAAGTTATTAGGATCTACAAAGGACAGGAAGTTGTGGAGAGCCATGATCACCTACGTCCTTAAGAGACACGGCACATAAATAAAGACGAAGATCAGCAAGAGATTAAGCTATTACTACCAGAGATAATCTATATTCAGCTGAGATTTAAGCTTATAGTTTGTGCTATTTCATGTTTAATCCCTCTGCTGTCGGACCAAAGGCATTTTTCTCCCTTGCAGCATTAACTGATGTCATCTTTGGTCTTTTGCCATCTTAGCCTCGGTCTGAGTCGTTCTCTGAACTGTCTATCGCCTTTAACATTGTATTGGTTGGCCTTTTTTCATAACCTTTCATGTCGATAACATTGGCGTGTATATCCTGCAGACAGTTACAATGTAATTCCGTTTTACTTCTTCACTTCATTCGAAAACCGTAAGATTTTACTTTGTCCACGCTGAAGCTTCTTGAAATCGACTTTTATTTCTTGAAATTGTTTATATATATATATATATATATATATATATATATATATATATATATATATATATATTTAATAATATATATATGCTTAATGATAATGTTATTAAGCTTATCAGACGTTATGAAAAGAATTTTCATAAAATGAATAGACTTCCATTCTTTAATGCGAAGTAAATCCTAATAACTTGTCTTTCTTTTATTTCTCTTAAATCCTGTCCTGTTAACCATTTTTTTCAAGCTCATTATGTATTTTATGCATTGTTTTTCTACTAGCCCTCTTGCTTTCAATCTATCCTGTGAGTATCAGATTTTCCAAGCCCTCTCTCCTCATCATGGGACTCAGAAATTTATGTTGTGTTTTCCTGATGTTAAATATAAGTTTCCTTTTTGTTTCCATTTTCTATAAAACTTTGCCGTTGCTCACATGTTCGGTCAATGGTACCCTCAGCACTCCTATTTAGAACCACTTTTCTGTTGCTACAAGTCTTTTCTTCGTCTTTGAGGAGATTGTCTAGACTTCACTGCCACTCAGGAGGACAAATGCCACGTAACTGTTTAGAGCAGAGAAGGGTTAGGTTGAGAGCAGAGAAGATCAGAGTTGGGTTAGAGACGATGAGTAAGTGACGTCAGAGATTGAAAAAAAGCGCCCGCTAACACGTGCTGTTGATATAAGTACCGCTGCTCCTGCTATCACTAATATTGGCCATATTTATTTGCTGTTAACCCGATTCTCACCCAACAAGCGTACAGGTAGAACTTTCGGAATTCTTCGACCCGATAACTGCTCGCTAGGATCAAAAATCACATCGTGGCTGGTGAGTGGAATCGAATCGACATTTGATACCGTTTTATTGTTTGTTTTTTTTTTTGGCTCATTAACTTTTGGGGTGCATCTTTGCCTATCCCAATACACTAGGAGTGGACAATCATTTTGGCACAGGGGCCACATTGACTTTTAAAAATTGACAGACGGGCCGGGCCATCACCCGATGGATACATATCAAACATAATCAGAATAAAGCAATACAGTGTTAATATTTCCATTAACTGTTAGTGGGAACAGTGTTGTATATACCCTTTTTTACCAATGCATCGAAATCTGGAATCATTTTTGTTGTAACAAGACTCAGAACAGATCTGAGGTGTTCATCACTCAACTGGCATCTGCGGGTTGCTTTGTTGGCGTTCATCACGCTAAAAGTCTATTTACAGACATAAGTAGAGCCAGACAACACCAGCATCAGGGAAGTTGCTGAGACGTGACAATAGTGACAGCGATCAGCTACGGTGACCGCGGCGCAACCGTCCCGTGGCGCTTGGAAATAAGACGAATGTGCCACCTAGTGAGATGTCAGGCATTACAGGACAAGGTCAAATGAATGCAGTCATAATTCTTTCAATCTTCGGCGGGTCGAATTAAAAAGACCAACGGGCCGGATGTGGCCCACGGACCGTAGTTTGCTCACCTCTAAAATACACTTTCGGTTTTCAGACTCACTCTTACCGTCCTCTGCTGGGACGCTGCTGAGAGGTAACATTAGTGACAGCAATCAGCTCCGGTGAGAGCGACGCAACCGTTAGGTGGCGCTTGGAAATAAGGCGAATGTGCCACCTAGTGAGATGCCACGCATTACAGGGAAAGTCATAATTCTTTAAATCTTCGGCGAGCCGGATTAAAAAGACCAAACGGGCCAGATGTGACCCGCGGGCCGTAGTTTCCCCACCTCAAAAATACACTTTCGGATTTCAGATCCACACTTACCGTCCTCTGTTAAAACACATCCTAGATACTGAAGTTTTTGCACTTGATTGATTTTGATATTTCCCTTTTGCAATACGCACTTTGAGACTTTTGGTAACAACGATAAATTTGCTGCAGTTTAATCCTTTTTTCACGCTTTCATTCACTACCTTCTGTGGGGATTTTTTCCGTATTTGCTATCAACACTGTGTCATCTCCATATCTTATGTTGCTAAGATTGTGGCTAACAATGATGAATTCTTGTAGGACTTCTCAGAATAGCTTCGATGAATACGTAAAATAAGTCCGGTGAGAAGACTCCTCCTTGTCTTACACACCTTTCTATTTTTGGAAATCTGCTGAACTAATTTTCTATCCGAATGCAGGCGATTTCCTGCCAGTATTAGTTCTTGATTAGTCCAATATCCTTTCTAAATATGTCAAGATTGCTGAGGAGTTCCATCAGATCCTTATGGCGTACGTAGTCGAAAGCCATTGCGTAGTCTATGAAACATAGGTACACGTCCTTCTGCATTTGTATTGCTCTTTCTTATAGCATTCTGAGCATAAATATCGTGTTCCTTGTCCCAGTGTCTTTGACGGAGTCGCATTAAGATTTTAAATAGATGAAATAGACCTTTCATCTGTATAAGACAGAGGGCTATCGTTTTGCGTCTATGCGCCGCGTCCATTCAGGACAGCGATCATGACCCTCCCCAAGTTCCTTAGCATTGTTTCTTCATTTGCTAAAGCTAGGTTCCGCCGTTTATTCATACAACCTAGTCAGGAACGTAGCCCTATACACGAAAGGAAGCCTAGAGAACAAAGAGCTGAAATTCGTGTAGAGTGTCCAACTCTTAAAATGCTGGCTTAAATAACTTAGAAAAGTAAAAGATCTTGATCCACACAAGGCATATCGAGAGGAAACGAAATAGAGGTAGATAGGACAAGAGCGATAGGGAAAGATAGAAAAATGAGAGAGAGAGGAAAAGGTAGGGCAAGAGAAAGAGAGAGAGAGAGGGAAAGATAGAAAGAGAGAGAGAGAGAGGGAAAGGTAGAAAAAGAGAGATAAGGAAAGGTAGGACAAGTGAGAGAGAGAGAGAAAGGTAGAAAAAGAGAGATAGGGAAAGGTAGAAAAAAGAGAGAGGAAAGGTAGAAAGAGAGAGAGAGGGAAAGGTAGAACAAGAGATAGAGGGAAAGGTAGAAAAAGAGAGATATGGAAAGGTAGGACAAAAGATATAGAGAAAGGTAGAAAAAGAGAGATGAGGAAAGGTAGAACAAGAGAGAGAAGGAAAGGTAGAAAAATAGAGATAGGGAAATGTAGGACAAGAGAGAGAAGGAAAAGTAGAAAAATAGTGATAGGAAAATGTAGGGCAAGAGAGAGAGAGAGTGAGAGGGAAAGGTAGAAAAATAGAGATAGGGAAATGGAGGGCAAGAGAGAGAGAGAGGGAAAGATAGAAAAAGAGACATAAGGAAAGGTAGGCAAGAGAGAGAAAGAGAAGGAAAGGTAGAAAAAAGAGAGAGGGTAAGGTAGAAAAGAGAGAGAGAGGGAAAGGTAGAGCAAGAGAGAGAGCAAACGGTAGAAAAAGAGAGATAAGGAAAGGTCGGACAAGAGAGATAGAGAAAGGTAGAAAAAGAGAGATGAGGAAAGGTAGGGCAAAAGAGAGAGGGAAAGGTAGAAAAAGAGAGATAGGGAAATGGAGGGCAAGAGAGAGAGAGAGAGGGAAAAGGAAGAAAAAAGAGAAAGGGAAAGGTAGAAAGAGAGAGAGAGAAAAAAATGTAGAGCAAGAGAGAGAGGAAAAGGTAGAAAAAGAGAGATAAGAAAGGGTCGGACAAGAGAGATAGAGAAAGGTAGAAAAAGAGAGATGAAGAAAGGTAGGGCAAAAGAGATAGGGAAAGGTAGAAAAAGAGAGATAGGGAAAGGTAGAGCAAGAGAAAGAGAGGAAAAGGTAGAAAAACAAAAGATAGGGAAAGGTAGGGCAAGAGAGAGAGAGGGAAATGTAGAAAAAGAGAGATAAAGAAAGGTAGGCAAGAGAGAGAGAGAGAGGGAAAGGTAGAAAAAGAGAGAGGGAAAGGTAGAAAAAAGAGAGAGAGAGGGAAAGGTAGAGCAAGAGAGAGATGGAAATGTAGAAAACGAGAGATAAGGAAAGGTAGGACAAGAGGGATAGAGAAAGGTACAAAAAGAGAGATGAGGAAAGGTAGAGCAAGAGAGAAGGAAAGGTAGAAAAAGAGAGACAGGGAAATTTAGGACAAGAGAGAGAAGGAAAGGTAGAACAATAGAGATAGGGAAATGTAGGGCAAGATAGAGAGAGAGTTAGAAGGAAAGGTAGAAAAATAGAGATAAGGAAATGGAGGGCAAGAGAGAGAGAGAGGGAAAGGTAGAAAAAGAAAGATAAAGAAATGTAGGCAAGAGAGAGAGAGAGGTAAAGGTAGAAAAAAGAGAGAGGGAAAGGTAAAAAAAGAGAGAGAGAGGGAAAGGTAGAGCAAGAGAGAGAGGCAAAGGTAGAAAAAGAGAGTCAGGGAAAGGTAGAAAAAAGAGAGAGGGAAAGGTAGATAAAAGAGAGAGCGAGGGAAAGGTAGAAAAAAGAGAGAGCGAGGGAAAGGTAGAAAAACAGAGATAAGGAAAGGTCGGACAAGAGAGATAGAGAAAGGTAGAAAAAGAAAAATGAGGAAAGGTATAGAAAGAGAGAGAAGGAAATGTAGAAAAATAGAGATAGGGAAATGTAGGGCAAGAGAGAGAGAGTGAGAAAGAAAGGTAGAAAAATAGAGATAGGGCAAGAGAGAGACAGAGGGAAATGTAGAAAAAGAGAGATAAAGAAATGTAGGCAAGAGAGAGAGAGGGAAATGTAGAAAAAAGAGAGAGTGAAGGGTAGAAAAAGAGAGAGAGGGAAAGGTAGAGCAAGAGAGAGAGAGGGAAAGGTAGAAAAAGTGAGATAAGGAAAGGTAGGACTAGAGAGATAGAGAAATGTAGAAAAAGAGAGATGAGGAAAGGTAGAGCAAGAGAGAGAAGGAAAGGTAGAAAAAGAGAGATAGGGAAATGTAGGGCAAAAGAGAGAGAGAGAGAGTGAGAGGGAAAGGTAGAAAACTAGAGATAAGGAAATGGAGGGCAAGAGAGAGAGAGAGAGAGAGAGGAAAAAGTAGAAAAAGAGAGATAGGAAAAGACGGGGCAAAAGAGATAGAGAAAGTACAACAAGAGAAATAGAGAAAGAGAGATAGGGAAATGTGTGGCAAAAAGATAGGGAAAGGTAGAAAAAGAGAGATAGAGAATGATAGGGAAAGAGAGATAGGAAAAGGTAAGGCAACATAGATAAAAGTACAAATAGAGAAAGGTAGAGAAAGAGAGATTAGGACAGTTAGAGGAAGGGAGATAGAGAAACATTGGACAAGAGAGAGAGAGGAAAGGGTAGGAAAAGAGCGATAGAGAAAGCTAAGGAAAGAGAGATTGGAAAAGGTACCTGACAAGCTTGTGTTAATTGACGGTAGAACGTGGAGTCGGAAGGCTTAGCAAAGGGACGGACGCAGCTAAACACTACACTGGAAGGTTGTGGAGGACCATGATCGCCCACGTGCAGAAGGAAAATGGCATTTTTTGAAAAAGAAGAGGTTGAAAAGAGTTTTCAGGTGTATTATTTATCAAAAAGACTTTGTAACTCTCTTCAACCACGCGGTTATAGATTAAATTGGTTTCGGAATGGCCTTACGGTTACTAGCCCCCAGAAATGGATTTGGCGATGCGAGTTCGAGATTCGGTTGTGTTCCTTTAGTTTGTCGGTTGAAATTTATAAAATCTTTTTTACTCAAACATTTTTTTCCTGAAATTGTTCAAGACAATTAAATGTTATAGCTCTTTCTAATATTGATAAGAGATAGTCACATTTGTAACAAACGATAGAAAATGTGGCACCGAAATCCGAAGACGCAATGGAATGGCTAATGTTAACGATGTTCACCATAGTCTATGAATATAGAATACAGCGCAGTGCGTAATCTGTTCAATGAAACAACGTTAAAGATTAACACTCACGAACAAAGGTTGGCAGTGAGTATTCGGGAAATAAAACATGGCCGCCTTTATACACGTCGCATTGAATATATTGAGCCTTCTGATTGGCTAACCCTTCTATTGGTGAATTATAAAATGAGTGAGCTCATTTTGGCTGGCTCACTAGTACCCAAAAATTCCAACAGCTAAAGATGCTAGAAAAAGGGAAATTTCGTTGGAAATGAACAACAGATGTTTTAAATGCTATATGGCGGTTAATGCTGGACAATTTCCTCACTGATTAAAAAGAAGACTCCAGGAAACAGAGTTGCCGTCCTCCATAAGGAAGCTGAGGCTACCATAGAATCAGAATAATACAACTGAAATTTCTGGGACAAAAAGAAATGGTTGGAAAAATTTAACACACACAGGACGAATAATGGACCAGAGATGCAGACAGAAACAGTGAGTGAACCCAATGAACTTGCGTTTATGGATGGTAGAACAAGGATTGGGAGGAATGGTAAAGAGACAAACATTGCTAGGAGCGACAGATGCTGTGGAGAGCTATGAACTTCCACATCCAATTTCTCACCAGCATTTGTTTTCAGATTTTAATCGTCTGTTGTTCAAGCGCTCAGTAAGAAGAGGTCAAAACAATTTGAAAAAATGAAATGAAGCTTTGTTCGATGTCGCCATCTTTTAATTTTCTCCAAATAAAAAAAAGGTTACTATGAACCACAGAACGCGGACTTCTGTTATTGAATTGTAGACGCCTGTATAAAATTAACACATTTGAACATCACCCATGCATACGTATTGTCGTAATAAAGATGGTTTTATGCATTTCGGTGTATGTATGTGTCAATAATCGTGCGTATAAGCCGCTTTAAGAGTTTGATTATTAATCCAAACGGACGTATTTTGTTCCGATATCAGTTTTAGCTTGTATGTTAGGAGACACAATGGATTCAATTAGAAAGGAAAATTTTCACGCTAGATGAAAAAGAAAATCTTAAATCGTAATTGTCTTACACTTGCTGCTTCCGGTTGCTGCTTCTGCATTTAATCCCGAGTCGATGTACTTATCATTGTGCCCAGTTCATTTCCTACAAAACAGATAGACATACTGAGATAGATAGATAGATAGATAGATATGATCAGACTGAGATAGATAGATAGATAGATAGATAGATAGATAGAGATTATAGCAAAAACATGAAATCGCTATATTCCATTTATTCTAATCATAGCTGGATAGATAGATAGATAGATAGATAGATAGATAGATAGATAGATAGATGTGAACATACTAAGTATTATGGTCCGGTTCCTTGTACCGCGGTGATAGTCCCAGGTAGAACAAATAAAGAAGAACTCGAATACGGATATGGAATAACACAGATATATTACAAACAGGAATATATACAGAGAAGTAGAAAGTGTTAGTACGAACAATCAGGTTTAGTAGTAATTGTCTGAACGCGAATCTGTTTCGGACTGCCTCTGACTCGACTGACTGACTCCTGACGGACTTCACTGAACTCCCTGCTTCCTCTTAAGGCGCAGTATTTATTACGTGTGGAATAGTCCATTATGTTATTATGGGTAAGCTCCCATAACACTAATATAGATAGATAGATAGATAGATAGATAGATAGATAGATAGATAGATAGATAGATGTGATAATACTGATATAGTATATATATATATATATATATATATATATATATATAGATAGATAGATAGATAGATAGGTAGATAGATAGATAGATAGTGAACATTCTAAGATAGATAGATAGATAGATAGATAGATAGATAGATAGATGTGAACATACTAAGATAGATGTGAACAAACTGAGATAGATATCTTTCTCAATGGACTTAATTCACGTTATAACTACGCGTATGGTTCGGAATAGATAGATAGATAGATAGATAGATAGATAGATAGCAAAGTGTGTGTTTGCCTTTTATTTAAAACTGTATATCTAACCGTTATTAACTTTTGTGTCTTTCATATTCACCTTGTCCTTACCTGTCTCTATCTCTTTCTGTATTTAACTCTTTCTCTCTCTCTCTCTCTCTCTTTACTTCTTTCTCTCTCTTTACTTCTCTTTTTCTCCGCCTATCTATCTTTGACTTTCTTTCTCTCCCTATATATGTATGTTCATAGATGATATTATTGAGTATTGGATTTTTCTTTTTTGTTAATAATGTTTCCACGATAGTAATAATATTAAACATAAAATGAAAAAGCCAAGATTCAATAATATCGTCTATGAACACGTCCACTATGTGCTGACCGTGTTTATATTTTATATGTTTGTCACTTAGCTGACTGATATTACCTTCAGCATCCAAGTTATGTAGACACAAGGTATAAATAGTAGAAAAATCATGAGATTTAAGTAATGTCACTAAGATCTCAATTCTGTGCAAAAGTAGGATCGCACGAAAGTCAAATTCAAATTTCTATTTTAGCATTTATTCATTAATCTGCCAGGTTTTTTTTCCGTTGCGGCTAAGATGCTTCGAAAAAGCACACAACCATTTCTTTGTCGTATGCACAAAAAATGCAAATTCCCATCTAGAAAAATTGTTAACATTTTTTTCTCCTCTCAAAAGTCAATATTAAATATTTATTAACCAATAGAATTTCTGAATTTAATAAATCTATCCTTTAACTTCCTGTGATCCGATTTTTTCCTATAAATAGCGTAACTTAAATTAATAAACTAGTCCTCAATATACTTTCGACTGAGATGTAAATAACACTGATTTCTGAAATTTTCGTCTCCTCATAAAAAATTATTGAGTGATAAAGTTCATTTTGTAAATTAATTCTCGCTTTAAAATTATTTTCAGAAACAAGTTTGCACAGTTTTTATTACGAAAATACCCAAGCGACAAATAGAATACAGATATATATTTTGAACAGTAAACCATTTGCTGTATTTGCGCAGATATTAACTGACTGCCTTCTGCTAGATTTGCCCTACGCACATGTAACATAACATAGATTTTCCCGTGACAATCTCACACAAGCTCTCCGCTCTATACTAACAAAATTCATTTCTTTTGTGTTTTAAAAAATTTCGTATGAACTTTGTTTTACAAGGGACTTTATCATAAATGTTTTAGAGCTGTTTTTGAAGATTTCTAGATAGTGTAATGGTCGGCGGGTTGGCTGATGATATGAACCTTGTATACGAAAATGAAACACGTTGTCAGTAATTTTTTCAATTTGTTTTATTTGTCCACAATATATACATATATATAGAGAGAGAAGGAAATAGATAGATAGATAGATAGATAGATATGGGGCGTTAGTGTGTGAATGTGTTTTTACTTGCTGCCAATATATATATATATATATATATATATATATATATATATATATATATATATATATATATAAAAATGTTTATCACGATTTAATTATATTCCTATAAAAAAAAGAAAATGCAAAATAAGTAAAAATAAAACTATTTATTTTGTTGTCGCTATTTTTCCCTTTCAGACAGACTCACGCACGAAACAATATTGTTAAGACTTCCGCCTTTCAAATTGGAAATTCACGCATAATGCAAAAATAAAAGAGTTATTTTATTAAATTGGCAATTCTCAATAGTCCTTCGACTTGGAGCATTGAGCTCCAAAATAGAATTTTACAGCGACGAATAAAACAAAAACTAGATAGATGTTTCCGGAAATAGTTGAGATATATAATATTACAGAAAAATAAATTGTCTCCCGCGAAAAATGGTGCCGTATTCAGAGTAGATATTAAAAATTAGGGTATTCAATTTAAACAAGTATAATTTTTCTGGGTAGCAGATGAAATAATTTTGGTTGCCCGTTGTAATTGATATAAAACAACTCTTAGAACAAATCTTGAACATCACAAAAATGCCAGTAACTTCAGAATCGGTATACTCATGTTAAATTAAGCCAAACGCATTTTAACCAAAGTTTTCCTAAGTTTTCGTCTTATTTTATATTGATCTATTTGGACTAATTTTCTCATTATTATCTTGTATATATCTCTCTGTATACTATCAGTCGTATTTCAGTTCTCCACGTTACGTTTAGCAAACGGGTTCGCTGACTAATTCTTTTTGTTCATCCTCTGCTCTCTATTTATGGTGTCATTCTCATTTGCATATGATACTACACCTCTCTGAATCGAAGAGGCCGGACACCCTTGCTCCTTCTTATTTTATTTCTGATTATTCCCGTGCCGTGCTCTCCCTCCTCCTGTCTTTCTTGTTTTCTCTTTAATGGTGATCTTGGTCTTTCTTCATTTTCTTCTTCACTCTCGTCCATCTTTTCATTTTCACTTTCTTCTATTTCCTGCTCTGTTCCATTTTTGTGACTTTCTGTCTCTTCTTGCTCTTGATCTTCCATTTCCACGTCATACAATTCATTTCTTCTTCTGAATTGATCTGCATGCGCTATTATATTTTGTCCCTTTTTCTCCAGTATAGCCGTATTGTGTCCTTTTTGTATCAGGAAATTTGCCTCTTCTAGATTAGCCTCCTTATTCTTTCTATACCTTTTCTTTCGTTGAAAAGGACATAGTTATGGGGGCTCTGATTTGTCTACCTATTAATGCCGAAGGGCTCAGCTTTCTTGCTGCATGTGGAATGGATCTATAACTGAGAAGCATTTTCAGTAAATACACTTCTAGGCTTTCATTAACTGGTGAGAATGTTTTTAACCTCATTTTTATCATTTGTACCATTCCTTCCGCAATACTATTAGATTGTGGATGATACGGTGGTGTCTTGTATGGGATACATCCTATCTGTTTCAACCACGCACATGAATTCTCATCACTGTCGAACGATCACGTGGTCAAGATAAACACTCAGTTGTGGAGCAAGCTGAGTCAATAATAACCTAACCTTAAGAGAACTATTTATGGTGCCATGGAGCAGCATTTCATTGTGCTAAAGTGGGATAGTCCATTGCTTGGGCTGTGATTGGCTGCTGGTACATGAGTGGAGGTATTTCTGTATAAATAGCAGCTTGATTAATCAGTTAGTTTGCAGGGTTTGTATTAAGTTACAACCTGCTTTATTTTTGTCTGCCAGCTGGACGCTAGCTGGGACCCTTACATCGGTAAGTGCTGTTTATTATTGTTATTCTACAATCACAAAATTCAGGTGCATTGTCAGTGACTACTGTCTGAGGTACTCCATTCCTTGAGAATATAGTTCTTAATACTTGCTTTATTGTAGTGGCTTTCATTTCTTTTACCCTGATAATCTCTGGCCATGCTGAATACGAGTCCACTAATATTAAGAACAATCCGTTAGCTATGTGAACCCTAACCCATGGCTCTAGTTCATTGGGCCATCAGTAAATTTTCCACAATGCACGTCATCATGCACTCCTTTTAATATGTCCCTCCTTGATATTGCTGGAGCCACAATTATATCTCCATTGCATATTATACCATGTTCTAGTCAATTTGTGCTTCGTTTCTTTAAAGGGTCACTCTGCCATCGAACAATTGCTCCATACATTATTTCTTATTCTCTCCTCTATTCTGCTTAATATTGAGTCTTTCTCTGTCTCTATTTTGAGTCTATTTAGAGGGAAAACGTGCGTTTCTACCCAGTGTTATATTTTGTCTTCCACTTTTTCTTGCTTTTCTTCTGGTTCATTCTTGAAATGCAATCTTGATAACGCATCTACGTGAGGGATAGTGTTCTCTTTTACATATATTATGTCAAAATCGAACGCCATGTTCTTTATCGCCCATCTCAAAATTATTGACGATGTTGTTTTCGGCAATTCTTTTCTCGGGTTGAATATGAATTCCAATGGTTTGTGGTCCGATTTTAATAAAAATTTCTTTCCTATCAAAAAATTTTGTGCCCTTTCCATGCTCTATACAATCGCTAGTGCTTCTTTTTCAATATTTGAGTAGTTAATTTCTGCTGACGTTAACTTTCTTGATATGTACCTGATTGGGTGTTCTTCTTGTGATAGAATAGCAACAATCGCCTTTTCACTCGCATCTGTGGTTAACGTTACTTATTTTTGTGGATCAAAAACTTTTATTATTGCTTTGCTCCTCAGTATTTTCTTTACTGTTTCAAAAACGATAGTTTGCTCTTGCGTCCAGTTAAATTCATTATTTTTCTGTATCTGGTAATGTATTTACTATAAAAAATTATCAGGCCCCAAAAGGATTCTAACTTTTTTATTTATTGGGGGAGCTATTTCTGTTATTTTCTTTGTTAATCTTTCATCAGGTGATATGTCTTCTTTCAATATTTGATATCCTAAATATGATATCTTCTATCAGAACTACATTTGTCTTTGTTCATAGTCATGCCTGCCTTGTTCAATCTCATCAAAATTGGCTATGTTACAATTCTTCTCTGGTTCTTGCCCCTACACATATATCGTCCTTTTATATTATCATATTTTTTTTTATTTTTCCTAATATGACCCTTTCAGTCGCTTTCTGACAAATGAGACTCGACGTCTTTACCCCAAACAGGAGACGCGTTCATCTTAGCCAGCCTATAGGGTGTTTATCGTAGTTACTTCCTTGAATTATTCATGAATTTCTATTTGGTTGTATGCTGCCTTGAGATCAATTTTCGCAAAGTATTCCATTTTCGCTAACTTGAAGATCACAGTTTCAATATTTGGCAACAGAAAAGAGTCCAAACATATCTGGTGATTTACCCCTATTTTGTAATCACCACAAATCCTTAAATCTCTGTCAGGTTTCTTTATCGCTATTATTGGTGATACCCTATTGCTACCACATTGAGTCACTCTTTCTAGTACGCCTTGTATCATTTTGTTTATCTTCGCCACCATCAAAGGTAGTATATGAATTGGAACTTTCCTTGATTCTATATATTTTGGGTGATAATTCTCTTTTAGTTGATACATGCTTTATAGCCTTTTAACACACGAATTCCATTTTCTTGTGCTTCCATGGAATTGATTAATCTTACCGTATCCATTTTTAACTCATCAATTCCTAGCAATCTGTGATCTTTTTCGCATTCTACCACTGTAATGGGAATACTTCAAAACGCGTATCCGTTTCAAAATTGCCTTGAAATGTACCCATTATTTTTATAATCGTTTCATCAAGTTGATGGATGTTGCTTTTTTTAATTTAAGCCGTCCCAATTTGACCCAGAAATTTTTTGGTATCAGCGTGGCTTCACTGCCTGTATCGACTTGCATGCTAAATATTTGGCCATTTATCTTTATTTTTTTATCTCCTTTTTGGTGTATTCACTGTAAATACTTCAGCCTCTTCTTCGGAGGGGCTTTGTATTTTTTGTACTCTTTCTATTTTCTTTTCGTATTTGCATGCGTTCAGAAAATGGTCTCTTTCTTGCAATTTGAGCATACTTTTCCTAACGCGGGACATTTGTACTTGTCTCTCTCTCGCGATTTTTTCCACAATATCTACATTTAATTATAGACTTGGTCGTGCTCGTTCTGTATGCCTCGTATTTTTCGTTTATGGTTCTGGTCGCGCGCAAACCTTCAATTATTCTGAAAAGAATTAATTCATCTTCTATGGTCATTTCCCGAGTTCCCAACTTTTCAAATTCACAGTACTTAGCACGTTCTTTTAATCTATATAAGAACTGTATAATGGACTCATTTTGTGCTTATCTTGTCTCTAAAAACATGGTTCTTTCAGCAACGACCAATCTTTTCTTTCGTCTTATGTTCTTTTTTTTATAACTTTGACAATTTCTTCAAATGTCATTTCTTCTAATTCGCGCGTAACACATTGTCGAAAATTTCTTCACCGCTTCGCACCCAGCAGTAGCAAGAAATAAATCCGTTATCTCGTTTTCTCCTCCTTCGGTTTTAGTAACTCTTAATTTTTTTACTCTTGCAAACGCCGCAAAAGTTCTGATCCATGCCTCTACGTGTTCTGGATCTTCCAGCGCCTTCAAGGATCCTATCCGCGACGCCATTGTTATGTTGTGTTTATGTCTCTCTGTATAATATCAGTCGTATCTCTACGTTATGTTTAGCAAACGGGTTCGCTGTCTAATTTCCTTTGTTCACCCTCTGCTCTCTATTTATGGTATCATTCTCATTTGCATATGATACTACACTTATCTTTTCTTCCGTATAGACGCATATAGACTTCTGTAAATATCGTCCTTTTTTAATGACTGTTGTATTTGGTAACAGTCTAGAAAACATTATTCAGTCCACAGGTTAGGGGTGACATTGTTTTCATTCCACCATCCATGATTCAGGAGATAAACCGTTTTAGTTAATTCGTCGGAATTAATCCGTCCTTCTCTTAATTCCATTGTATTGTTGCCTCTAGTAATCCTGAGATCAACCCATGTACCAAGCAGTGAAATCTTTCTTCTACTAATACTGCAACAGAAAATCACTCTATGTTGTAGACAAGCGTTGTTGCTGCAGATATTATTATCATTATTATTATTATGTACCAGTCGATTACTGCTACCGTATTCTACTTGGTTATAGTAGCCAAAACCACTTAGCTACTTCGTTCAAATATATCCCTTTCTGGGACATATCAGTATATAATAATACTACTAATAATATAACAGTATAATATTAGTAATACTATTCTTTATATTATAAGATTACAATAATAGTCATAATACTATTAATCATCATCATCATCATCATTATTTTTGTTGTTGTTGTTGTTGTTGTTCCTTTAATTTCCTTCTGAGGTCAGAAATACCTTCATGACAACTTACACTGATCAATTTTATATATAAAAAAAAGCTAAGCTTGCACGCATTTTACATAGATAAAGCTCTTCGTAATGTGTGAGCAATACTTGTGAATACAAATCTTTGTATTTCTTTAAGGCATGGGCTACCAGGAATCCTTTCAAAGAGACCATCGGACCCTTTTCAAATGATTCAAGGCCTCCAACTATAACTGGAATCATTGATATCCTCATGGGTCACATTTATGGGATTTCCCCTTGAAGATCTTTGTATTTTGGTAATGTTTTCAAAAATACATTACAATCTGCAGAAACTGCCATATCAATGAGAAATTTCTTCTTCTTCTTCTTCTTCTTCTTCTTCTAATTATTATTATTATTATTTTCTTTGGTTCTTAGTGTAAACACATTTCCTTCCTTTTCGCAACCAGAGACCTAAGATCAGAAATGGCTTCATGACATTTTTTAACAGATCCTTTTTGTAAATTTATTATTATTATTATTATTATTATTATTATTATTATTCCTGTTGTTGTTGTTGTTGTTATTGTGTGTGGTATCATCTTGCCAGAGAGTAATTTTAAGTGCCTAATTACCAAGTCCACTTCGGGGTCTTTGAGTAAAAAAGGGGCACTGTAGAAGAGTTATCTATGCACATTTGGAATTATTATTATTATACTGATGACGAAGAAATAAGAAACGTCAAAATGTACAATCGCTGTAAAAAGAAGCGTTGGCGCCATCTTTCATTCCAGCCCGCCAACTCACGTTGTAGACTGCATGAGTCACTTTAGTGGCTTAGTATTTTTAAAACGATTATTTGTCGTGCGTCTGTTTCCATGTTAAGGATTTCCGAGATGGAAAGGCGTCTTTTAATTAACTGTGCCAAATTATTATTATTATTATTATCATTATTATTATTATTAATATTATTATAATTGTTGTTGTTGTTATTGCCAGAGAGTAAATTTAAGTGTCTAATTACCAAGTCTCCTCCGAGGTCTATGAGTAAAAAGGGGCAGTGTAGGAGAGTTATCTATGTACATTTGGGACGTTCCGTTTAGATGGAGAGAGATCTGTGCGTAATATGTGCAGTTCCACATATTCAATACTTTTCTTTATCATATCCAATGCCACTATCACAACAACAGGGATACTCGTAGTTTTAAGTTTCGACATATTTGTTAGTTCGATTTGCAGGTCCTTTTAATTTGACAATTTTATTTTTAAATTATTTTTTAGAAACTTTCGATTCCGGTGAGCAAATCATGTCAATTAATTTGCACGTTTCTTTTTTGCAATCTTTTATGATTATGTCTACTGTATTTTTGAATAATTTTCTTGTATTATTATTATTATATAAACGCACGAAAATTTGAACGTAATATTTCATTAGTTCCCCTCTTGATTATCAGGGGAATATGTTACAAAGAACCCGCGGATGCGTGAAACCTTAGAGAAAATCGAATCGTATAGTCACATCATCTAAATAGTGTAAATTGAAAAATTAAGCATCCTAAGAAATAAAGTTTATTAACTAATAATAAAATAGAACAATACAATATAATAAATGTTCTGTAAAAGGAAATTCGCTCTTATCGTAGGTCTTAGCAACCACATCAAATGATGTTATTTTATTATTAAATCGAGTTCTTTCCATTTAAGTGAATCACTTTACTCGATGTCGCTCATATGCAAATTAGCAGCTTTCCTACACTTCTTTGGGATCCATATTATGAATTGTTTATTTCTCAAGTTGACCATGTCTAACAGAAACAACTACATACTTGGGCAAATTAATTGAATCAACTGTTCTTTCCTTCACCATACGGTCAGTTTTAGACCCAATAGAGTGACAGGATGTAATTGATTCCTATTTTTATCTCAGATTAGGTCATTTGCAGTGGTGTGCAGTAATATGAATCAATGAATGTATGATTAAATTTATTTTCCCTTGAGAAATATTACATTATCTGTGATTGCATCAGATATTTTTCACGTCCAGACACTATTGTCTCGACTGTCGATTAGTTTTCCTATGTCCATTGTCTGCGGGGGACGTTACTCAGAGGAAGCGTACGAAAATTGTAACGTTGCACGAACACACTAGCAAGCCTTACCAGTGAGCAAATCAAAGTACTATAGACTGGCCCGGAAACTCTCCTGATTTAAATCCAATCGAGAATTTGTTATCAATCTGTAAGGAACGACTTCGTGGGATGGACATACGAAGTAGAAACATATGCACTGGGTCATGTTTCATTGGAAAAAATACAAACAAAAAGTAAATAATAACGGAATTATTCGTTTTATTTTAGTTAATTTGCACAAGGGGGTATGTATTCTTTCGTTTCTTTTTAACTGGAAATGAAAAGACGTTAAAATGTCTTGTGGAGGTAAAAGAATTTATTTTTAGTATTTCTCTGCTTATAAGTGTGTTTTTATCATAAAAATAGTTGAGAAGCCGCGTCTTCTGCGTTCCAACTTTGTTGGTTTCCTGCTTAGCGATTAATTTGTTGGCTTTCTGCTTAAGGATTTATGTAACACATTAAGGGTGTGAAAACTGGTTTGCAAACAGCAAAGCTTTCAGATACAGGCACAGACAACTTTGGCAAAAGATGCCAAGAAAAAGATGGTTTTGATTGCGGTAAAGTAACACCGATACTTCTAAAGGAAAACAATCGATTACATTCTTCAGAAAGGTGTGACGTTAATATTTTCTTCTTTTTTTTTACGTATATCAACTCTTTCCACTCGTAATTTGTATTTATAAGCCCTTGCGTGACCAATTTATTTGCTGCAAGAATTGTGGAAAAAATATTCGGCTGATTTCATTTTCCAGGCAATTTGACGCATCTGAGCGAAATATTGATTTGCATAGATCGGGTTGGTCAAGCGGTTCTCAATATATTTAACACATTCACTGCCATAGGACGCGCATACACGTCTTGCCGTATATTATGTATTGCCTTTGACCTACACGTTCGTCACTTCTATGAACTTGGGAAATGCATTGTAAAGAACTATTGCAATGAGAAATGGACTTAGTTAAATCATTGCGATGTATGTATTAAAATAAATTGAAAATATCATGAAATGAGTTTTCAATGAAAATTTGTCAATCCTCTTAATAATTTATATATTATTAATAATATATGATATAATGGAATATGCATACACCTGTGTTCCCCCTCACTGGAATATGATTGGCTGGTGTCCATCATAAATACCGACGGACGTGTAGGTACGAGAGAGTCAAGACCCTTAGTCTGAGAGCTAAGTCTATAATGACGCCCATTGATCTACACTTCTTACCTGCGACTACGACGCGTACCAGTCGATTACTGCTACCGTATTCTACTTGGTTATAGTAGCCAAAACCACTTAGCTACTTCGTTCAAATATATCCCTTTCTGGGACATATCAATATATAATAATACTACTAATAATATAACAGTATAATATTAGTAATACTATTCTTTATATTATAAGATTGCAATAATAGTAATAATACTATTAATTAATGTTTTTTTACTTTTCATCTTTAACATCTAGAAATAAGTACACTGACGATGAGCCGGAGTTCTAAACTGATGGCATAAGGATTCATAGTTGTGGTAAGAAGGATACTCTGCAAAGAAATCAGCATTCTTTAACGAAACTTAGAAGTAAAACTTAAGATAGTCTTCTCCAAAAACAGAAGTTGTAAAATGGAATGGGGGGGGGGATAATAATGTCATCTACACTGAATCCACCATAAACATTCAGAATGCGAAATGATTAAATTCTAAATATTTCAAATGAGTCGGGGTCTGGATAAGTTATAATAAATATACTTTAGGAGATAAAGAAGACGTATAAAGAACAAGATACACTAAAGGAAGTTTCTCTCATCAGCATTTGATGATAAAAAACAAAAGTTTATATATATATATATATATATATATATATATATATATATATATATCGTCAGGCACGAGGTATATATATATATATATATATATATATATATATATTCCCTGGCGATCCGCTAAGGTTAAAACTTGGTAGGTTTGTCTGGCTCTCTAGGTTTAACTAGGTCTGCTCTACTCATTGTATTTAGGACTTTATTTAGTTGTTTTGGGTACTCGCATCGGTTTTCTTTCTTTGGGCTTTGAACTCGTATGCTGGACGATTAATTTCGGCTAACGTACATGTTGTTGGTTCTTTCTTTTTCTACCTTTTTTTTCCATTTGAAGTTGGCTTGTTTATTTGCAAATCAAGACACCGAAGGTTTTCCAGGCAGTATAGTTTCTCATACTCATAAGATTTCTATTAATATATATATATATATATATATATATATATATATATATATATATATATATATATACTAGTCTAACGCAGACAAATACGGAATTAGGGGCAAAGCATTCACTTTAACAGCAGAGAATGATAACAAACTTAAATCGATTGAAGTGGGGGAGAATAGAGACCTTGCACTTATGTAGTACCCTATTACCGTGACACCAGTAGTCACAAGAGCCCAAATTTTCTATGTCTATGCAGTGCCTCATTCTCTCAGCGAATATTTTTTACAAAGAGTAGCAAATAGGCAAATGTTAGAACAAGAGTTGTCATGCTGGTATAGCCGGAAATAGTTTTTCCTGTGTGCGATGGCGGCTGAGCATGCTTGCGTAAATCATTCAGTGGATTGCAATTTCACCTGGTATTTCTGAGAAGGAATGAAAGCGTACATGCTGGCTTCGACCCAAGAAGTAACTTCATTGACGCAATTTTCAATTTGGACGTTAAAGTCACTGAAGTACACAGATGAATGGAAGGAAATTGCCTTTTCTATACTATCAACTATTGTGTCTAATATACTGAAGTCTTGAGAATTAGGGGGAGCGATAAAGGAAAAGAGTAAACAGAGGCCTCGAGGGACAGTTCCCTGGACATCGGAACAGAGGACAAGGCTACCTTACCTAAATATATTTCTAACTGGGTTCTACCTGCAAGGTTTATGTGCTGTTTTTTACTTAACATTTTCACCCCAAATATTTGCATATTTCTTACTGTATTTTTTCCCATGGAAATATATTTTTCCTTGCTGATTATGATTATGTGGTCACTGTACTGAGTCATGGTGGGGTAATGGATAGTAATGGATTCATTTCTTTTTTCTTGTTGGTTTTAGGAGTCATGTGAGATTACTTTTCAGGACTATGTCTATCGAAAACACTAGATGATTGCGATAGAGTTTTAGCAGCATAAAAAAATCTGTGATCAGTTTTACATTTTACCCGGCGTAGACGAGTACTTCAGCTAGTGCACACAAATATATACAGACAGAGTGGGAGACAAACAGGTAGACACACACACACACATATATATATATATATATATATATATATATATATATATATATATATATATATATTACAATGAATCATTCATACAAAAGTAAATTAGTAAAGTTAATGATATAAAATGGCGTATTCATAAATTTTGAACTAACCACTCGATGAATATTATGGTCCTCATGTACATTATTTACATTATTTGGACTATTGTCCTCATCTTTGTTGCCATATTTATTACAATGTTCCGGCCTTTCAGTATCTGTCTATATTTCTGAGATGAGGTATTATGTACATTATTTACATTATTCGGACTATTGTCCTTATCTTTCTTGCCATATTTATTACAATGTTCCGGCCTTTCAGTATCTGTCTATATTTCTGAGATGAGGTATTATGTA